CCCCGCGCGCGGCTCCCCCGCACTCCCACCCAGCCGCCACTCACCGTCGATGTCCCCCAGCGTCAGCTCGTCGCCCAGCTCCGTGAGGGTGTCCATGGTCTCCAGACCGCCCAGCTCGCTGCTCTCGTCCATCGCCCGGCTTGGCGCAGAGTCGTCGTCGTCCTGCCGTCCCCGTCCCCCCCGCCCCCGCCCCGGCCGTGAGGTCCGGCTCAGGGAGACGCGGAGGCGGTGCCGCCGCCACCGCCCATGACACCCGACGGCCCCCCACCTGGTACCGCCTCACCGGCCCGTGCCAGCCGCCGCCATGTTTGAGCTGCGCCCCGACTCCACGGGAAGGGGCGGGGCGGGATTTCCCCCACCCGCCCCGCCCGGGCCGCGCCCACCGCGGCCCCGCCCCCAGCCCCTCCCCTCCGCGCGCCTCCATGTTTGTTGTCAATGGGACCAGGCTCTGCTTAGCCAATCGGCGTGCCGAGCGGCTCGTGGGGTGATGGCGCGTCATCGATCAGCAGCTCGGATTTGCATAGCGGGGCCCCGCCCTTCACGGTCGCCCCGCGCCCGCGCGGAGAGTAGCCGCCGGGCCCTCGACCCAGCCTTCCGCTGCTTTAAAGGAGCCGCTACTTTCCCGCTGGATCGGCGCCAGGAGCGGCGGCGGCGCGAGTCCAGGACCAGAAGGGTTAACAGACCGCTGCCGGGCGCCACCTCCCACAGCCCCCGGGACGCGGTGAGCACATTACGTCATCTCCCCAGTTGCGGCTCCCTGGCTCTTAGCCCTGAACAGAAAAGAAGCACAGTGCAGGGATGGACGGTCCAGACCCGGCCAGTCACTTTATTCCACCCATGACCTCACAGGGTCTTGGATCGCCCGAGTGATGTCCACACCTTAGAGCTGGCCCTCAACCCTGGGAACCTCGCCATCACTCAAGGCCTCTGAACGAGGTCATTCGCCCAAGCCCACCCCTGAAGCATCCCACGCCAGCAGTCGGTCACCTCACTGCATCATCATCTTACAGGTGGCCACATAGTACACCAAGGTGCAAACTTCCAAGAATGTATCCCGAGGAAACAAAGATTAGTGTTCAGAGAAATGCTGAGTAAATACACATACCCAAAGACATTCATCACAGAGTTCTTGGTAACTAGGGAAAACCCAAGACGCCCAGGAAGTCACCATATAAACTACCTCCACAGTGAAAGATCATGGCATCCTTAAAAAAATTATGGCATGGGCATTAGAAGAAAGTCGTGTGTATTTATTGACAGGAAAAAGCTTTCATGACGTACATGGGAAAATCTTCCTGAGTCTGAGGCAGCTGTTTTAGGGGTCAGACAGGCTGCACGGAGAAACTTGTGGCTCCATTAATCCGTGCAATTGGGCTGGGTAGGCAACTGTTATCTTCAAAACAGCACAGGACCACCCTGGCAATTTTCACCTTTATTTGATTTCTGTAGCAAGCAAACAGGTCTTGCCTTCCAGGTGTAAGGGTTGCAGCCCTGGGAGGGGAAAGGTTTTCCCAACGCAAGTGTTGCAGCTCCGAGGGGAAAGGTAACAAGCCTCACACAAGAGAATTACAGGCACAGACACAAGAGTGTGGCTGGGAGAAGCAGCAGAGAACTGAGCAGGAGGCAGGCTTTATACAGGGTTGCTTGAGGGTGTGTGTGGATGGAGGTTTCCTGGCGGGATTCTGTGGCCTGATCTTAGGAGCAAGTAGGGATTGGTGAGTTTCTGTGGCTGATCTTGGGCGGCTGCTTCTGCTTCTTCTTTTCTTCTTCTTCTTCTTCTTCTTCTTCTTCTTCTTCTTCTTCTTCTTCTTCTTCTTTCTCCTTCTCCTTCTCCTCCTTCTCTTCCTCCTCCTCCTCCTTTTTTTTTTTTTTTTTTGTAGAGCAGAGCTTGGCCACCTGTATCTTGAGGGGCTGAAAACTGCCTTTAGGGACCTTAGAGTACTCTGGGGACAGGACCTGGCCACTTGAGGGCCTTACATTAAGTGCTTGTGTGTGTTTGTGTGTGTCTGTGAATGACAAAAACACTGAACATAAAAGTAACAGACAATGGCACAAGTGACCAAGGAAAAGGTGTGATGAGACTCACAAGGGGCCTGCCTTATGATATCAAGACTCTGGCCTGGGACCAGCAAGATGGGTCAGTGGGTAGAGGTGCTTGCCGATAAACCCAGTGACCCAAGTTCAATCCCTGGGATTCACCAAGTGGAGAGAACCAATTCCCGTAAGTTCTGCCTTTCCATGTATGCTTGGTGAACTGACCTGAAGAAGCACAAATGAAGGCCCAGTGGAAATGGCTGGTGGCACACACCTTTTCTGTGGGGACAGGTTATATGTAGTACACGCTGTCCTTGAACTAGGTTTGTAGACTTTTTTTTTTCCTTGAAATATCTTTATTTTTTTTAAGCAGGGCAATGGTAGCCCACGCATTTAATCCTAGCATTCTGGAGGCAGAGGTAGGCAGATCTCTGAGTTCAAGGTCAGCCTGGTCTACAGAGAGAGTTCCAGGACAGCCAGGGCTACACAGAGAAATCCTGTCTTGAAAAACCAAGTATAAATAAATAAAATAAAAATAAAAAATAAGTGGTAATAAGATGGTCACTGCCCCGGCCCAAACCTCAGCAAACACTGACACCTCCTAGCCTTGCCCACATAACTGACTGTCTCTTTCAGCTGGCTCCCGCTGCACAAGCTACTCCCCAGGACTTGGGTTGTTCATTTGAAGTGACTGGACTAAGTGTTATGTCCAGATATCTACTGTGCATTGGGTAGCTGCTGTACACCATGGAAATATTTCCCACTGACTTCCTCCAAGAGCTCTGCTTTCAGGTTTCCCCCATCTATCGGATATCACTACCTCTAGGAAGCTTTCTGGCTGGATCGATCAAGAGTGTGGCTAGACTGAGCTGAAACACAGGAAATGACGGTTGTCAGGTGGTAGCAGGGCAGATTTAAGCTGTGACTGTCCAAGAAGAAGAGCCAAGGGAAGGGAAGCTAGGCCAGAATACCTATTCCTTTAAAGAAAAGCGGAGGGAAGACACTACGAGAGACAGCAGACTTTGACCAAGGACAGAGCTGGGCACAAGAACAACCCAGAAGGATCATCCCCTAAAGCCCTCGTCCATCTGGACACTGACTCGGGAGGGCCGAGGAAAACAGAACTGAGGAGGGAAGGAGAGACATCTAGCAATGGCTGGAGACATTGTTAGTCGTCCTAACTGTGGGACTCTACTGGCATCTAGCCGGTGGGGGGCAGGGATACTACTAAATATCCTACACCACTCAGGATAGCCTGAGGACAGTAGAGTGGTTCAAAATGTGAACAGTGCCACACTGTTGAAATGCCCTGCTTAAGGGAAAATGAAGGGACTCCTGGAGTCTCCAGGAGTGCCATGGACTGGACTTAGAAGGCTGAAACATCCAAGACCACACTGTCATTATTGCCACCATGAGCACCCATAGCAATGGCCACTGGTCAGGCCACTAGAAAACATACACAGTTACCTAGGCTACGGCCACTACCTAAACATACAATTGGTAGAGCTACAGTCACATAATTGAATCCCAGCCACTGAGTGAGCTGGAGAAGCAAGTGCCCTCCCTCAAGTGTTTTGTGTTTTTGTTTTCTAAACCCACCCTCCCACCCACCACTAGGTGTGGTGACACACACCTTTAATCTCAGAATTAATCTCTGTGAGTTTGAGGTCAGCCTGGTCTGCAGAGTGAGTTCCAGGACAGTCTGAGCTACATAGTGAGACCCTGTCTCAAAGAAACAACCAACCAAACAACAACAAAATCCCAGAAAAGAAAGACAGGTCCACAGCCAAGCTGACCTGGTTCCTTAGAAGTTCTTCCTTCAGTTAAGGGAAGAAGCATTTTCCTTGCAAAGCCATCAACCACAACCTCTCTCAAAGAGGAAGGGAACAGGGAGGACCCTCGTGGCTGCCTCTGGCCCCTAGTCCCACAACACTAGCACAGGTTCAATAGATGATGGGTAGATCTCATCCTTTCCATAGGCCAGGAAGTCCCAGACTCTAGTGCTGTCATATCAGAGAAACCTCACAGGAATCGGCTAGGTCATACAGCTGGAAGGGACAGGCTGGGAATGCAGCCCAGGTCTCTTGGGCCAGCTGTGTATCTCTTCTGCATCGGATAAGCATTTCTATGGGAAAACTTCTCCAGCCCTCTTCCCGACTACTTCTCATCCCCATACTTCTCCTGCATGACTGTTGAGAAGCAGGCTACTCTGGGACCTTCCAAGAAGCCTCCCCAACACCTGGCTTCCCTTTGCTGTGCTGGCCAGTAGAAAGGCAAGCCTCCACGGATGTAGGTTGGAGCTTGGCCGAGGATTCAGACATCATCCAATTGATTTTACCAATGAAGGCACAGCTCAGGGAAGAAAGAGAGTAGGCCAAGGTCAGTCGGGCTAAGGCTCAGGTCTTGCCACCACTGTCAGCAGTAAGAGGAAGAGTGTTCCTGAAGGCAGGGGTATGGCTGGGGATGACACAGGGATGGTGGGTGTCTCCATGCCTTTAAGGGATACATTTTGGCTTGGCAAGATCGAAGAGGTAGCACTGTAATTTCAATAGAGCCAAGGCAGCCACCTGCTTTGGAATTCATAGAGACCAGGCTGCCCTCCGAGGGCCTAACTCCTGCCATAGCTCCCTGCCCTGTGGCCACGAGACTCTGCCTGAACCCTGAACTGAGAAGCCCACCGTCTGGTCAGCGCAGTTTACAGTAGTCCCATTACCAAGCCAGCCTCCTGTAACCTGTCCCCTATAACATCACCCCCCACACAGGCTCTAGCTTTAGCAGCAGAGAGAACAAGTTGATTGTCCCCTGAACCAGCTCAGTGACTGTCCCCAGTTATCTGAGACTAGAGATCATGTTCTTTTAAGGTCTCCTTGAAATAAACACCCTCCCAGGACACTTCTGGGTCCCCTCCAAACTGATCCCTTATGAAGGGCAGCAGTGAGTGAATGAGAGGCCTAAACCTCTTGTTTCTTGTTCTTGTTTCTCTGCAATGCGAAGGCCTGGGGCTCCCTCCCGGTGAGGCAGAAACATACTCCAGGCTGGTCCTGCCGCTTCTAGAAGCTCCTGGTGTCCTTACAGCCTCCTCGTCAGTCTTGGTGAGGCCAATGAATTTGCTGCCTTTTAGCGTTGCTCTGCAGAGAGCTGGAATGGTGATAGGCAGTCCAGGAATACAGTGAGGCCAGCTACAAGCATGACACCTTCACCTGTAATTCAGAGCCAGATTCTACCGCTTCCTCACAAAGGCCAGCAGCTGGCCTGCAACTCTCACCAAGAGGATCCAGACCAGGAGTCCCTCAGCCAGCCTCCCCCAACAGCTTCTCTGCAAGCTCCTGTCTACAGAACAGTGTCCTCTCAAGACCCCCTTGGTGTGCCCTAAGATCCCAGAGGCTCAGTCTTTTGGGCCAAGGCTCAGACCCAGCTCCTGAGGACTCAGCAAACATAGGGTCCCCATCCGGAAGTGGCTGGTGCTCACCATGGTGCTTGATGCTGCTATACCACAGCCACACGGCTGCGCCTCTTCTGACTGGCCTCTTGATGATCCCTTAGGTCCCAAACTGCTCCAGGGCTACAATTCAGACTGAGATCTTGAGATTCTTGGGCCTTTTCGGATCTCTTTCCGCTTCTCCTCCTTCTTCCGGCGTTTTTCTTCTTCCCTCAAGGCCTTCTGGAAAGGGTCAGTGCTAGGAATGAACTGAGAGAGCAGAGTGATTTGATTTAGTCTAGGAGTAGCAAAGAGTTTCCTCCGAGCTAACTCTTGGAACGTTAAACAAGAAGGTTCCAGGAGAAGGCCCTGCCCTTAGGGAGTCTCAGACAAGGAATCAGATGAAAGGGCTCAAGGAAATGCTGACTAGATCTTGAGATGATCAGGGGCTTGACAGGCAGATAGGGGAGACAGGAGATGTCAGCCGAGGCATGAACTGGAAAACAAATACTCTCTTCCAGGAAGAGGGAGCAGTGTGGCTCTTGGAATAGCTGCCTGACACCCTTCAGGAGCGAGGCAAGCTAGGGGTCCTAGGCGACAGGTGCTGCCTCCTGTGCACAGGGGACAGTGTGCCCACACAGGGGGACACAGGAGCAAAGCGGATCAGAAGGGAAAGAGATGGGAAGGCCAGGCAGACAGACATGGGAGAGGACAAGGATTTGGGGGCAACTTCAACTTCAACCCCAGGTCATGACTCTTCTCCCTCCATCCTTTCCGAAGTCTCCCCTAACCCACAGCTTCTGCTGGTCTCTGTGGCTAATTACTATCAAACCTGCGTCTCTGTGTCTGTTTGTCTGTCACAGACCATGGTTCCCATGACTACACTCCTGCAGGCCTTGAACACGCTGCGGCCTAGGCCCAGAAGGCCCTTCCCAGGCCTGTCGGCTGCATCTCGTTTGCACCAATTCCGCTACCACTGCCCTCAGGACCTCTTCCGTGGCTGCCTCCTCAGTGGCATCTGCCTCCTCACTGGCACCCTCTCTTCAACTTTGTACTAATTTATTCTTGTGCTTCTCCTTTGTGGTCACCTACTTTGTGATTGTCACCTACAACAGCATGTCTCATGAGGACGGAATGTTGGTATTGGGTGTTGTGTTCCACTATGTCCCAAGCACAGAGCACCATAACAGCATTCAGTGTACATTTCTAACAGAATGAATGAATGGGCTCAGTAGACTATAAACACAAAAGGATTCTTAGGACAAAATTGACAAGTGTGATCAAGGTAGGCGTTAAATACAAACTAAGAGTGCCACCTTGTGGTATAACCTACCTGCCACATAAGTAGTCCGTGCCTCTGGGAAAAGGGGGACGTCTCAAGAGTGGTCTGAGACAGGAATGATGTGTTCAGGCCACACAGCTAATGGAACGCCCAACTAACTAGGACTAATCCAACCAGGCATCCCACTCATCTCCCAGATACCTACCATTCTTGTCTCACAAGAGAATCTTCTCACTGAGAGGTCCATGCTGAATACAAAAAAAGTGGGCAGGCTGGGGATCATCTGTATATTATGTATAAAGTCCTGGGTTCAAGTCCCAGTAGGGGGAGGAGGGGAGCGAAGGTTGGTAAAACTATCAGGATCATCCCCAGCCGACAAGAAGGAAATTATGTTGCTCCTATGGTCATGTCTAAGAGCATATCATAATACTACAGTAAATTTATCCTGGAATTTAGCTGACTTGCCCTCCTGTGGGACAGAGGCATATCTGACTGCAGGATGAGAAGCGCCTACTTGCAGAAATAAAGCATTTCCCTAGGTGCCCCCTTGTGGCAAAAAGAATCTCTCCAAGGCCCTGAGCACCTCTGCATGCACTGACTGGGTACACCTAGAATCAAGGTCTTGTCCAGGGCTACTTATCGGAGTTATGATTCTAGCATGCAGCCTTGAGGGGTGTACCACTGGGAAGGAGCAGCAGCTACTTTCAGGGGGAAAACCATATTCCCTACCCTTGGCACAGAAAACAACTCTGGCTCAACAGGAACCTCAGAGGTTCTGCTAGATGTAAATAATCAGGCGTGGTCCACTGTGGTTCAGCTAGGTTCAAAACAAAGGTACTGACCAGAAATTAGCAAATGTTGCAGGTGTGGCCGTTCATGGTAGCATATGCCTGGAATCCCAGCACTTGGGAGGTAAATGCAAGATCAGGAATTCAGGCTACCCTGGACTTCATAAGACCTTGTCTCAAAACAAACAAGGAAACAATAGAGAAACCCAGGAAGAGTTGCAGGTCTGGTTGCTATCTTTTAAAGGCCACTGTGTCTAAAGTTGGCCCTTGACTGGCAGTTGGAAACCATAGTCTTGATCAGTAAGAGTGGTTCACTGTTCTCAAACTCTGTGAAATCAATATGGTTTATGGTAAGTTTCCTTCCAGCAGCTTGGAGTTTGAGTACTAGTTAGATACAAGGTACTCATATAACTAACTCCCAGTAAAAACCAGGGTACTAGGTCTCTAGTAAGTTGACAAAGCAAGCTCATACATGTTACAACTTGTTGCTGGGGGAATTAAATACATCTGTGACCACTGAGAGATAATATATACAGAAAGCTGGTTTCCCTGGACTTTGTCCCATGTGTCAAAGCTGGTGTCAAATTCCAGGGCTCAAGTGATTGTCCTAGTTAACCTCCCAAATAGCTGGGATCACATGTGCCACCACAATTGGCCAACAGGTCTCTATAACCTTGTAAAAACTCCCTTGTCCCACTAATATCTGAACCTTCTGAAAGGTCTAGGTGAAAGAAGCAGGTGACTAGAGAAAAGAAAAGTTATTGGTATCAGGATGGGACACATGAATAATTCAGCAATGACTCCAGCACCTAGGAATGGCTTGAGACTCTAGAAGGCCCAGAGAACAACACAGGGGCAGACACCACTGACTGTCACTGGTGTGCAAATTCCCATCCACATGATGGAGACTCACACCGATACAGTCAGCCCTGAACGAGCCTATGTCCCACCCCATCAAAGGCCTCCTCCAAGTACCTATGCACACACAAAGCATAGGACAGCCTTGCTTTATTCTCACAGATAAATTATGGCTGCCCTGAAACTCCCTCTGTAGACCAGGCTGGCTTTGAACTCAGAGATTCGCCTGCCTCTGCCTCCCAAGTACTGAGATTAAAGGCGTGTGCCACCACTGCCTGGCCTGTCTTTTATTCCTAATGCCTGAGCAGCCTTGGATTAAACCACACAGGCAACCTAGGTTAAAATTCTGCAGTTAAATACCCTCAATGCACTAAAAGGCAAACAATGTACTGAAGACTTAAAAGTGTAAAGTGGGAGAGAAAGAACCACAGGAATGGATGATTGTTGCTTTGGGCCCATCTATTGCTTCCTAAAATTATTAACAAATACATTCAATGAGATTGGTAGGTAAAAATCTAAATTTCAGGTGGGTGTAATGGCTAATACATTAATTTTAGATGATATTCTGATGGTTCAAAATGAGACATACTAGTCCCCCCCAAGACTAGTTGAGTCAGGGACCCTGGGGAACATGATAACTGCCGTCAGTTTTGCAGGTTGGCCTCACCCCAGCATTCAGAATAGTGTGGTGGCTTGTGCCTGTAATTTCAGCACTCAGAAGGCTAAGGCAGGAATGTAGAGAGTTCAAGGTCAACTGGGGTTATAGAGTAAGGCTGTCTTAAAAGTCAAATCAACAATCAAAAAGCAATACATCTAACTGCAGCTTCAATAAATGACATGGAAAAAACTGAATGGATTTGGTCACTGCCTCTCAGATTGATCAGGCAGTAGGCTATTTGTGATTGGTGCTGGGCACCGTCCTATGTTCTTGCTGAGCACAGTAATGCAAAATCTGGTAAGTTCTCTAGTTGGATTAATAACTGTTCTAAGGCATTTTTAGTCCAGCCTGGCCTAAATTCACTATATAGCCAAGGTGGCCTCTTGCTCCAGCCTCCTGAGTGCTGGGGTTACAGGCGAGTACCACTATACCTCCCTTCTAGCAACTTGACCCAGACCACTTTTCAGGGTTATTTTTTGCAGAGAGACTAATCTTGGAAGGTTGAAGAATCATTCCCAGGACAAAGCATCGACCTGTTTAATTTGTTATGAGGAAAGATGGCTAACTTTCCAAGCACAGCGGTCTGCAGGTATAGTGCAAACCCACTGCATGCACAACACCTGCCCGGTTTCCACGGAAAGACCTGGAAGAACAAGGGTTCCTGAGACCATGAGCCCAACAGTCTAACTCCTGCTTTTGCTGCACTGAAGAGCATCTGTGACCCGCTGACATCTGTAAACAGTGGCCGGCTACTTGGTCAGCCTGCAAGCCGTACCACCTTGGCCCCGTCATCCTCACGCCCCTCTCTACATGGGAGGGGCCCTTCCTTCCTCCCAGCCCTGCTTGGCCCTGCCCTGCTCCCTCTGCTCCTCCCCCTGTATGTGTCACCATCTGTTTTCTCAAACTGCAGCTGTTAGCCCCCAGAGCCAAGTTTAGAACTCTAGATGAAAGAAAGGCGTGTGTAGGAGTAAGAACAGAAGCCCCAGGGTACCAGTATCAGAGGCTCGAAGCAGGGAAGAACGTGGTCTGACCTCACCTGGTCACTCTCACATTCACAACTTGGGGTACACAGTGTGCAATGAGATAAAGATCATAGTCTCAGGAATCCCCCCCCCCAATTTCCACTCCACCTCCAGCTATGGTACACATTTAGGGAGGAACAGTGACTTGAGGAATGGTTTCTGGATCCATACTCTTGGATTATCGGGTTCCAGGTTTAAAGCTCTCACAGCCTTCCCTAGGATGTAGCTCCTGCAGACCCAGCCTCCCATACCCATCAGACAGAAAGCAAACAGTTGCCGGCCCCAGCAGCTCACCTCTGCCCGGTCTATTTTAAATGGGTTCTGGAAGTCAGAGTCTTTCTCAGTGATCCCCAGCTCCTGGGCCATCTGTGAATGAAAAAGCTAGTCATCCTCTTCTGCCTTCTGCTCCCTGATTGCCAGAGAGCCATTCCCACCATGCAGGGACTTAAGCCTCAGACCCTGGGCCAGATGTAGGCTAAAAACAATCCCTAGGGACCCTCCAGGTCAGCACAGAACCCCTTGAATTAGGCCTCCATGACCCAAAGTGCCCTGAAATGCACAAACAAATGTAGCTAAGTATTCACGACCAAGGGTAACGGATAAGGCCAACCACAGACAGATGTGAGGCCGCCAGCCCACCACTTGACAGGGCTCCCGGCCCTCTTACCAGTCCTTACCAGGTTGAGGATGGGTGAGTGGGGGCCCTGGTCAAAGACGCCTGTCTGATTGCAGAAGCTGATGCCCCAGCGGATGAGGAGGTTCCAGTTGGAATTGTGGTCAAAGTAGTGGTGTACGATCTTCGGGAAGCGCAGTACCACGTCACCAAAGAAGGCTGTGTTCTCCACCACATGGGAGAAAGCTGGCAAGAGGATCTTAGTGAGTCGTCGGGGTAGTTGCTCTTCTCCTCTTGTCCACCTAGCTGGCCCCAGACCTCCTCCAGGAATGGAGGCATTTACTAAACCCACCAATCAGAGAAGGGTTGGCACCCACTGAGACAGGCTGTTCATTGCATGTGCAGTATGTGCCAGAGCCTTCTACGCCATTGACGGACTTCAGAGGGAGAGACAACTGCTGTTCCTGTTTTACAGACTGTGTTGGTTAGGTGTTTGTTTTGTATGTTGTTGGATTTTTTTTTCAACTTGACATAAGCTAGAGTCATCTGGGCAGAAGGAACCTCAGAGAACTGCTTCCATCAGAACTGGTCTGTGGGCATATCTGTGGGGCATTTTCTTGCTGGAGGATTAATGTGAGGACCCAGCCTACTGTGGGTGCCACCTGTGAGCCACCCTGGCTTATACAAGAAAGCAGGCTGAGCAAACCATGTGGAACAAGCCAGTAAGCTGCACCCCTCCATGGTCTCTGCGTCAGTTCCTGCCTTGGCTTCCCTCAATGATGGACTGTGATCTGGAAGCAAAAGGAAACCCTTCCCCACCCCCTTACCCCAAGTTGATTCTGGTCAAGGTGTTTATCACAGGAACAGGAGCAAACCTGGACACAGATAAGAAACTGGTGCTTAGTAGCTGATGGGGGTCAAACCTAGGCTGCAAACCTGGACACTGTAAAAAACTGGTGCTTAGTAGCTGATGGGGGTCAAACCTAGGCTGCAAACCTGGGAATGTGCTCAGACTCACAACTTGCTGCTGGGGAGACTCACTTGCTGAAGTCAGGCACAGCAGTGCATTGGGCAGTCCAAAACCAGGGCTCAGGAATTCAAGGTTATCCTTGGTTATAGAGTCATGGGACCAGCCTGGGCTACATAAAATCCTAGGTATTCCCTTGTTTTGGAAAAAAAACAAAAACAAAACAAAACAAAACAAAACCCATTTACTTTGTGACTCGGAGATGGGCATTGTTTTGTATAAAGATGCCAACTCCCCAGCCGTGGAACCCAGTGTCCAGAGCTGTGTCTTGGTGTTAACTGTCTGTGCAGGGTCAGTGCTGTCAGGATGGTCAGCAAAGAGTTGTAGTAGTTTTGTTTAAAATATTCTTTCCATTTAATTTTGTTTCTTTTTGCTTGACGGGGGGTCCCATGCAGCCCAAGTAGGACCGAGACTTATTATGTAACCAAGGATAGCCTTGAACTCCTAATTCTGTCTCTACCCACCAATAGTTGGGATTATAGATGTGCGCACCATAACTAGCTTTAATTTTCTATTAAGTATCCCCCCACTTCTCTCTCTCTCTTTCTCTCTCTCTCTCTTTCATGTCTTTGTGTGACCAAAGGCTAACCTAAAACTCAGTATGTAGCTCAGGTTGGCCTTGATTTCATGATCTTTCTTCTAAAAGTTAGGATTATAGGTGTGAGCCCATCCTTTAAAATGGCTAACTGATAAGCCTGTCTGGGTTGGACAATGGCCTTTGACAAAAGAGAAGCTACAAGCTTTAGAACAGCTGGTTCAAGAGCAGTTAAATGTTCAACACACTGAAGAATCTACCAGCCCTTGGAATTATCCTCTATTTGTTATTTAAAAAAAAAAAAAGTCTAGTAATTAGAGAATGCTGACAGATCTGAGAGCTATTAAAGTAATTCAGCCTATGGGCTCCCTACAGAATTGGATACCCTTGCCCTCTCTGCTACCCAAAGAATGGCCTGTAATAGTTATTGACTTAGAAGACTGTTTCTTTACTACACCTTTATAAGAAAATGATAGAGAAAAATTTGCCTTCACAGTACCTAATTATAACAATTCCCAGGCAGTCAAGAGATATCAATGGAAGGTCCTCCCACAGGGAATGTTAAACAGCCCTACCCTATGCCAATATTTTGTGCAAAAAACCACTGGAGATAATTCGTGTGAGATTTTCACAATAATTTATCATTATATGGATGATACATTATTAGTTGATCCAAAGTGAGGCACCTTAGAAAGCATGTTTAAAGAAGTAAAAAAAGCTTTGCCTCGCTGGGGATTACAAATGAATCTACTCCATTCTGTAATCATGAGTGTATTTCCTCAATTTATATCTTAATAAATTCTGTTACCTATTTAATAGACTCACATGGGTTGATCATAATAATTTAAGACCAACCTGGTCTACATATCAAGTTCTAGGATAGCCAAGGTTACATAGTAAGAAAAAAACAAAGCCAGGAACTGTTGGTAGGCATGAGTGAGGAGGGACCACCACTGACAGAAGTTCTTGCAAGAGGGGACAAAGGGACATGAACCATCCCCTCATCTTACTTGTTTTTCTCACCTGGTCTGAAAAGGGACTTAAGGAGTTTGGGTTTTTTCCTAAGTAGCAGAGTGCAGGCAATCACACTCACTCGGCTGTTTGATAGGCCTCAGTCACTTCTTCCAATGGGAACAATCCCTATTGAACAATCCCCAAAAATGACTGGCAGACTCTGCCCTGGCCCTTGGAGCCGTGGTAGGCAGACTCTTCTCTAGTCCCCCTGCCCTAACCACAGAACAACATAAAGGAATATGTGCTAAGGACAGAAAAATTCTGTAATTACGAGTGGCTCCAGATTCCAGAAATGTTTAGAGAACCATAGACTAGGCCAACTCTTCAGGTATCACATGAGGATATTCCCAGGAACAAATGATAAGAACAGAGAAGGACCAGCTAGAGAATACTAGGGTGGCAGGGAGCCGAGTGAAGTGTTGGGGAGACCATACCATCTTTCAGCTTCTCATCCTGGGGGAAGGGCCCGTCTGGGAGCACATCTGCAGCAGTGAGCACTGTCCGGGAGTCCTCCAGCACCTGAAGGAATCCCGGGTCAGCTGAGTGGCTTTGTGGAGACCTTCACAGCCTCGCTCCATCTCGTTACCTGAATCCCACTCGAATTCTTCTGGTTAGACAGTTCATTCCCTCCTTGAACACTATCCCCTCAGAGAACTCCTATTCACCCATCAGCGCACAAATCCAAGCCCTGCCCTGCTGTGAGCTGCCCTGCCCCCCGACACACCTTGAAGAGCCCCTTGAGCATGACATCGAGGATCTTGTACTGCTGGTGGATGTCGTTCAGTTGTGCCAAGTTCTTCAGTGCCAGCAACTGCTCCCGCCGCTTCACCTCAAACATCTTCTTGTCTGAGCACCGTGAAGTTAAGGGACGAGCACAAGAGCCCTACCTGGACAATGCAGTGGCCCTGACCCAGAGGGCCCCTTCCTAACCTGTACCCCTAAAAGCCGTGGATGGCCATGGCTGGATGCCCCCTGGGAAGAGACTGCTTGTGTAGCATACAGGTCCCGTAATGTACCATTTCTCAAAGAGCGGGAGCCCAGCACTCGGAGACCTGGCACCTACCCTTCCATTCCTGTCTCTTCCTGTCATCTCTCACAATCATTCATGCTCCAGGACCTCCAGCCATCTGCTCAGACCGTAACCTCAGCCTGAGATGCCCCCACCGTTCTCTCTTGCTCAGAAGGTACACAGCACAGTGTTTCTCCCAAGACCTCCTGTATCCACCACAGCCTCAACCACGGAGAACAAAGGCCATTCGTTCAGATGTTGTGGTGGTTTAAGTGAGAATGGACCCCATAAGTCATATTGAAATGTTTGGTTCCCAGTTTGTTGGATCCTTTAGGAAGGATGAGGAGGTGGACATGTGACCATGTTAGAGGTGTGCCACTAGAGATGGGCTTTGAGGTTTCAAAGCCCACACCAGGCCCACTCTCTTTCTCTCTGCCTCCTGCCTCAGGATATAAACTCTCAGCTACTGCTCTAGCACCATGGCTGCCTGTCTGCTGCCATGCTTCCCACCATGATGATCAAAGACTAACCCTCTGAGACTGTAAGCAAGTCCTCAATCAAACGCAGCCTTGGTCATGGTTTCTCCACAGCAACAGAACAGTAACTAAGACACATGCTTTCTCCTTCTAGCTCTGTGGATGTCTCAAAACCAGGGACGATCTTGTCTCATCCTTGTGTTGTATCAAGACAAGCTAGCAATCCAAAGTTCTGGAGGACCCACCTGGGGTCTTACCAGTCAGGTGCTACACATACACTCCTCACTGCGCCTTGCAGATATGAGAGATGGACCCAAACTTCAGTTAACATACAGGGGAACCAGCTCAGGAGAAAACTGACTTGCTCGCAGTCTAGTTAGAGATTGTTTCCTCTCCCTCCCATTCTTACCAACTCTGTCTGCTCATCTCTGGAACTCCCCCCGAAGGAGTTATGGGTGCTGAGAGACCTCCTTTACCAGCCCATCAAAGACAGCCCATCCACCCCATCCAATCCCTAAAGAGATACAAATCTTGAGGCTCGGGTCCAGGGTGCTCTTTAGGGTGCCTGTGACTTCGGTACCAGACAACAGCAGGACAAAGAAGGACACCAGGAACTGATGAAGGCCCATATCTGAGACTCTGGAGCTAGAGGAACAAACCAAAGAAGACAAGCGAGTTCAGTGCAAAAGCAACTTCCCCAGACATGGCCCGACCTCCAGATCCCAAGGATCCAGCTCTGGGAAGAAAGCCCTGAAGATCTAGCCAGGGCTGGAGACTAGCAGGCACACAATGTAGGCCTAGAGGATTGTAGGAGAAAGAGAGACTTTAGCGATGCTTATCATACTGGATAGGGACCAACTGAGACTAGAGTGCAGGTTGGGGTCTTGACCACATCCGCCTTTGTTCCTGAGCAATTGTCCCAGCTCTCTAAACCAAAGCTTCCTTACCTGTAAAATAGGGCTTAGGAGGTCTCTTTCCTGAGGCAGAGAGGCAGGTCTGGATGATGTACTATGTCTGGAGGAATGCCCATAGCATTCCTCTTAATTCCCTGGACCTAGCCTCCTAGGAGGGTCAACCAGGAAGTCTCAGGCCGTGAAACAGTATGTAAAACTTGTGTGGTTTCCCTCCTCCAACTTCTTCCAACATCAGAAAGAAAGAAGGGACACAGGGTGGGAAGGGAAGTGGGGAACTCTTGGGGATTACCACTCACTCGCATGGGAACCACAGGAACCACATGCAACGTCTGTTCCTGTTCCAACAGCCCAGGAAGTCCTAGAGCTGAGAACAGACACTGTAAGTATGGCAAGCCAAACACCCTGTCCTCGGGCCCCTTGTGTAAGAGACAAATCGACAAATACATGAGTATATATATTTTTAAAAAGAGAGAGAAAGACAGGACTAGGGAGATGATTCGGTTGGTAAAGTTGGAAGCATGAGGACCTGCGTCTGATCTCCAGCCTCCATGTACAAGCTGGGCACAGTGCATGTTTGTGGTCCTAGAGCTGGAGACAGAACTATCCCTAGGGCTCACTAACCAACTAGTCTGGCTGAATCTAGGAGCTCCAGGTTCAGTGAAAGATCCTGTCTCAACAAACAGGGCAGAGAACAATTAAGGAAGAGATTTGACATTGATCTCTGGCCTCCACATGCACAGAGAGAGGCGCACACACATGAACACATACACAACTTAAAAAGAAAATGATGAGAGGAAGCTGATCAGTGTAACAGTAAAAAGTGGGGGCCAGGAGTAGTGAGTGGCTCGTCACTGTAAGCCCACCACGCGGGAGGCTGAGGCAGGAGGACCTCCTTACGTTTGAGACTAACCTAGGCTACACGGTGAGATCTTGTCTAAAACTCCAAAATGGATAGAATAGGGGTGGAAGACCCTCAGCCTCAGATACCCAGTTTTACTAATGTGGAAACTAAGGGACAAAATGAAACGAATGAATGAATGAAGTGGCTGTCCTGAGTCTCACACTTGTTCCTAGACTGAGCCCAAAGTCCGACTCTCTGTTCAGTGTACCGTCTCTTGTCTCTAAATAGGCACAGGGCACCGCATATCAAGTTTGAGTTGCTCGGTGAGAGGCCCTTAGGGAACCTCCGCCTCGACTTAGACGGGACAGCTGAAGCCTAGAGGACTCCCAAGATCATCCAGGACCCTCCACCTTCCGCTCCACGTTCCAGGACCCAAGGGAACCTGAACCAGGCCATAGCAAAACTTAGCTAAACAGAAATTTACCGCACAAACTAAGATAATTCAAGCAGGGCAAACGTGAGAAAGGAAAGAAAGAGGCGGACTGTGGGGACAGGTCTGGTTTTCTTGACTGTAACTCTACTATTCGGCCTCTGAAGATCACTTCAGTCCAGAGCGTCCCCAGAGCTCTTTCAGGCTCGGCAAGCGACTCTGAACTCGTTTTGAAGAGCTAGAGGTAGTGGCCGGCCGCTGGTTGGTTCCAAGCCTTGGGACGTCCGAGGGGCTAGGGAGCCCTTGTAAGAGGTGTCGGAGTCTCGCAGCCCGGACGCAGTGCGGGGGGCTCCGCACTCCCCTCCCAAGAAGCCGATCTGCACCCCCACCACCACCTACCGGGACCGGCGGTGCAAGGAGGCGAGGGCAGCCCCTCCGCGTGCAGCTCAACTGCCGGACGCAGCCAACTCCGCGGAAAGCGCGGAACTCCGGAGCACCTAGCCAGCCGCGCTAGGAGACCGACCAGCGGCCGTCCCACCCACTGCGCTACTCCGGACCAATGAGAGCGGGCCGCGACCGCCGCGCTCCGCTGACTTCACTTCCGGCCCCGCCCCGGCTGGGCTCCGGTGCCTGTCGCCCCAGCTGTCAGCTCCGGCGTGGTCCCGTCGAAGGCGTCGCTCGGCGCGGCAGGTCTCGTTTCTGGTCGAGTTGGAGGAAGTTAAGCTGCGGCGGGGCCTTTACTTTGCATAAAGCGCGTCAGCAAACCCCGGCCCGAAACTCTAGCTGCCCGGGCGCTGTAAGTGCCAAGCCTGATGTCTCAACTGAGCCGTCTTTAAACCGCCAGTTCACAAGATCCAAAGAACTTTTTAAAGGAACCGGCCGAATCCGCAGCGCGGACCGCGGGCACCCCCTACTTGCCCCTCCAGTCCACTAATTTCTAAACCAGAGTTCTCCGATTGTTCATACATCTTCAGTTTTGCTCGGGGGGGGGGGCGGGTGTCAGGACAGCTAGATACGGAGAAGACAGGTGGAGTGGTCAGTTAGAACACGGTGCCCAGGCTGGGCTGATAGACAGACAGATGTGCGCAGAGTTGTCTGCCAGCAGCCAGCGAGCGACATTGGGTACAGGAAAGGGCTTTGAGGGGGCTGGCTGGAGCCAGGGGAGCTGAGGCAGAATTGCTCAGCGAGGCAGGCTGAGGGTTTGATTTTTCTTTGCCTGAGATTTCAATCTCTCCCCATGACCATTTGAGGTAAAGTACCTCTCCACGTTGCAAGCACAAGGCCTTTCTCTGCCCTCCCAGCTCAGGGTCGTGTCCTCTACCAACAAACTACTATGAGGCACTCTGCACATGCTCCTTAAATGCTGTCTCCATTCTGTCTCTCTCCACCCTCTGTGGAAACAACCCAGTGTCCGTCCGACTGACCAGCTGAGGAACAAGTTCCAGAAAGATGAGTTCAGAAGGAAAGCCCACACGGGAATGTGAATGCCTTGTTTTATTTCCTGATTCCATTTTTCCACGGTGGAACAAAATGGCTCCAGATGAACGACTGAGATTGTCATTTTTCTATCAACAATTGTCCTGAATTTGTCTGCAGGTCTTCTTTCTGTGTCTGGACCTTTATATCCTGAAGGCTCAGCCTCTAATGTGGGACAGGGAGACATACACACCTCCAAGGCAGCTGGTACGCAACATGAGAGGAGAATAGAAGAGAGAGGGAGCTAAAGGGGCAGGGCAGGGAATATCACACTTCCAGAACCCCAGAAGGGCAGGAATTGTCGGATAAGAGCATGGATGCCGGGCTGGGGAGATGGCTCAGCAGTTAAGAGCACTGGATGTTCTTCCAGAGAACTCGGTTCAATTCCCAGCACCCACATTGGTGGCACACAACTGTCTGTAACTTCAGTTCCAGGGGATCTGACACCTTCACACAGACATACATGCAGACAAAACCCAAATGCACATAAAGTAGAAATACACTATTTTTTTAAAAAGCATTGATGCTTCTAAAATTTTGAACAGGCACTATAATGTCTCCAGCACATCACAACCTAGACAACTCTGGCCTCCAGGACAGCCAGGCTTTAGTCTCCCCTGCCCCTTTCTCCTCTTCTTCTTCCCCCTCCCCCATTTTTTGAGACAGGATTTCTCTGTGTAGCCCTGGCTGTCCTAGAACTCTCTCTGTAGACCAAGCTGGCCTTGAACTCACAGAGCTCCGCCTTCCTCCTCCTGAGTGCTGAGATTAATATCTCTCTCTCCTTTCTCTCTCTGACAAGGTATTGCTATGTAGCCCAGGCTGGCATGAAAATTTAAGGTCCTCTTGCCTCAGCTTCCTGAGTGCTGGGATTTACAGGTATGTGCTACCATGACTGGTCTCAACTCCAGGCTTTCTTAGGACTTATCACTCACCAGCCCTCCCTACTTGGACTGGGGAAAAGCATAATGCTACAGCCTTCACAGCCTTGGTGATGTTGCCCAGGCCAAAGCCCCCAGATGCAAGAAAGGATACAGCATGTCTTGAAGGGGTGGCTGGGCTGGGAAGGCGCTGGAGGGAAGGCCCTCCAAGGAGGCCTGCAAGGTCTGGATTGTGTTGTGGTCAGTCAGGAGACCCACATTCTGGACCTATGGGAGAAGGGACAGGAAAGACAGGCCTCTCTAACTGTCCCCCACCACCCATATTCTTGACTTCCCAATGGCTTAAGTGGCCAGTGCTTCCACCCTCCGCAGAGAAGATGGTCTTGAGGGTCTAGCCTCATATAACTGCATAGCATCCTTTTTCTACTCACCTGCAGGAAGAAGCCATGCAGGGCCTTGAGTGTATCATTTGGGAGAGCTGACAGGTCAGTCAAAGCTGCACCTTGCAAAATCAGACCCACCTCTTCACGAGAGAGGACGTTGCTGCTCCGGTACTGCACAAACTAGCCCAGAAGAAAAGCCCCAAATGTCCGTAATTAGAGGAGATGCCGTTTCTGTGCATTGCTGTGCCCAGCACTGAGCGGGGAACATCATTCTAAAGTCCAGGGTCCTGCTTTTAGGCTCTGTACTGGTGAGAATGGGCGGGGCTGTCTCACAGGAGAACAGGGCAAATGAGGTAGACTGCGGTCCTGGGAGAGCTGGCCTCGGTGACTTCTGCACATCAAGCTCCCTCCTCCAGCCTTGCACTGCAAACTCCTGGCCAAGATGAACTGAGTGTGGTTCCTGTCGCCTCTCTATGTGCTCTTGACCCTCCTACACTCACCTCACTTCCTAGACTCCTGCCTCCTTCTGCCTACGGATCCTTTGAGCTCCGGCTGAAACATCACCTACTCTTCACAAAAGCAATCACTGTTCTCTGTGTTTTCACCTCTGGTTTGTTTGTGGGGGAGCTTCACGGTCACCCCTGAGCTTGTTCCTTTGTTCTTTATCCAACAAGAATTATTATGTGCCAAATACTCTACCATTCAAAATACCAAACTTAGTGATGCATTTACTTGTCTTTCTCCTTTCCTAGAATGAGGGACCTCTGGAGGCAGAGTATGTGGGTGGCTCCGCCACATCCTTAGTACCTAGACCTGTCATGTGGCAACAACCCTGGTCACTGTTTCACGAAAGAAATAAGAGAAAATGTGTCCTAAGGTTAGATGTCGCTATTCCCAGCAGGTCCCTGGGCAGGTCTCTTGTAGAGTGAAGGCTACCCAACTCCTCTGCTCCTTGATGATTAGGGTCACCTAAAATAACGTCATGCTTTGGACCTCTTTAGCAGCACCCTGCTGATACCTTCCGACCACAGGACTATCCTTTCTGCACTTACCACAGTCATAAGTCTTAATATCTCAGGTCTGAGGAAGGAATTATCTCCAGCATCCAAGAGGGTGAACAGCAAAAACCGATTCCAGGGCTGGGAGGCCACATGGAGTGCTGCAAGAAACATCAGTCCTCAAGTAGTTAATGCTGTTCTTCTAGAGACCCAGGAGCATGCCCAAGGAGGAGGTTTTCCAATTGGCTTAAAAAAAAAAAAGGCTGCCCAGTTGCAGACTGGGTTCATGAGGTCTCTTGCCCTGGACTTCTACCCACCTATATGGACTCTCAGTGAGTCTGTCCCAAGACTAGGAGAGGTAGACAACTGGAAGGTGTCTGCTACTTCAGAGCACTGTAACTGGGTTAGGCATAGCGCTTGAACACTCTGACACTCAGTGCCCACATCTGTACAACGGGCGTGACGGTGTCCTCTGCAGTGCTGTCAAAGCACTGGGGCAGGAGGATTACAGGGTTCATTCCCTCCAATCTTTTTTTTTTTTTTTTTGTTTGGTTTTTCGAGACAGGGTTTCTCTGTGTAGCTTTGCGCCTTTCCTGGAACTCACTTGGTAGCCCAGGCTGGCCTCGAACTCACAGAGATCCACCTGGCTCTGCCTCCCGAGTGCTGGGATTAAAGGCGTGCGCCACCACCGCCCGGCCCATTCCTTTCAATCTTGATCATGGGAAAATAAGAGACTAAACAAGGTTTCTACCCAGGTCGGGGCTCCTGGCATGCAGGTAGTCAAGCAAGGCTTCCAGACAGCCAACACAGGCTTGAGATAACAGAGGGTCTTTCTGGGGGAGAAAAGAAAAACAAAACAGAAAAACAAAAACAGAATTAGGGTCAGGATTTATTTGTTTTTCTGAGACAGGATCTCATGTAGTCCAGTCTGGCCTCAAACTCCAGGATATATATATGGCTTAGTTTTAATAAAGAAAATATTGTTTTTAGTTATTTAGATTTCAGTTTTTCAGATAAAGAATATAGTCCTGTAGATAATTTTTAAATGTATGTTACTCATCTGTCACATACAGAGCACAATGCTTCTATGAAATAACACCTTTTTGTGAAGCATCCCTCTTTATTCTTCTAGAAACAGGTCTCACTATTATATACCTGGCTGACTTAGATTCTACTATGGAGATCTGGTTGACCTCGAACTTGTGGCAATTCTCCCGATTCTACTTCCCAAGTGCTACGATTAGGGGCACAACAAGGCACTCAGCTGTAACAAACTTAAAAAAAAACATTTATTTACTTCTATTTTATGTGTATACGTGTTTTGCCTATATGTAAGTCTATGCACTATATGTGTGCCTGGTGCCCTCAGAGGCCAGAAGAGGGTGTTGCAGCCCATACAAGTGGAGTGACAGATAGATGTGAACGACCACGTGGCCGCTGAGAACTGAACCTGGATCCTCTGCAAGAGTAGCCAGTGCTCTTAACCACTGAGCCATCTCTCCAGCCCCCAAAGATTTATTTATTTTTATTTTATATGTATGAGTGTGTGTGTGTGTGTGTATGAAAGCATACCATGTGAATGCAGTACCCACAGAGGCCAGAAAAGGGCATTGGATCTCTGGAACTGGAGTTACAGGTGCTTGCCATCAACCATGTGAATGCTGGAAACTGAACCCGGGTCCTCTGAAAGAGGAGGGAGTACCCCGAAGCACTGACCGCCTCTCCAAACCACTAAGTTACCTTTTTTGAAAGAGTGATTTGTTTTAGAAAAGGAAATGAACCCTGGGACCCACTAATAGGTA